ATGAGTGAGTGCCTATGCCTATAGTGTTATCATTCTTTTGATTCTGAGACCTCACCGCTGCAGTGATCCGTTCCGCGATGTCTTCCAACTGTCGCTCAAGGGTCTCATTTTGAGCAGGCCTCTCTCTGATGTTTCCCCCCATACGCTCAATGGTGTTGTTTTGAGCCTTCACAGCAGCTGCAAGCGTCTCCAAGGTGTTGACCATATTACGTTCGTTGTGAGAGATTGCGCCTCGTTTCGATTCCAGCGGGCAGCCTTGGGGGGGTTTGAACAGCCGGTTCCGCTCTCTTATTTCTCCGATCAGCATGAACCCTGTTATCACGGTTCCGAATAGATAGATACTGTATCTTCAGCGTCCTCGATCGACAGTCCCGCCAGGCACATGAACCTCCAGTTTTGCCACCCGTCCATCGTGTATCCGGCAGGGAAAGTCCCTCCAGGGCACTCAGGCTCTCCCGAGCCCAGATTTCTCGTTGAGAAAAGGGTGTCAATAGCATTCAGAGACCAGTTGATCAAATCCATAATTCTCTTTTAGGTTTTAGAGGACGACAGTGGGAGGCTATTCCAGGGAAAGTAACAGAGGTGGGACCAAGTCATTGTTTTGCAAGTCTCAAGTAAGACTCAAGTCTTTATCCTCAAGTCTCAAGTAATGTCAGGCAAGTCAGAGTCGAGTCTCAAGTCACTGGTGTAGAAGTTCAAGTAAAGTCACAAGTCTGAAATTTTGAATTTCAAGTCCTTTCGAGTCTTTAAAAAAAAAAAAGAAAAAAAGTATGTTGCAGTTATGCTAAATGTAAATATTAGACCATGTAATTTTTAAATCTGTGTTTTTCTCAACACATGACAAAATAGTGAACTTAGAAAATATACACAAATTGTGAAATTGCACCTCTATAAAATGCAGCTCAATTTAACTTAGCTCCAAGAATAATTTTCACCGACAGTTCTGAGATACGCCGCATGTTATTCTTGGATGTGGTTGTAGGACTGGCTTTAAAATCGCATGACAAAAATATCATACACATTAAAAAAAACTGCATCACCAACGTAGCCTGGACAACATTTGCTAGTTAGATGAAGTCAGCTATCTCATCGTAGCATATTTATATGCATATTTATAATCATACGCTTCTTGGAGTGAGCGCATACACTCATGAAGTTTAGTAACTTCCGGTCACTGCAACAAGCCCAGGTACAGTTTACCGACGGATGGGTACAGGACCTTGAAACGCACCGTGTAGAAAGTACAGACCATCGTACGTATCATAAGTTTACCAGTCTCACAAATCGTCGTCATAAATACACATTCGTTAACCGTTTATTAATAGGACCTTTGAGCTCAATGGTAATTAATTAGCAGTGGAAATAATTTCTGGTAGCATTACAGAAATGTAGCAGTGACAATAATACTGTATGCTGTAATCGTACTGGGCAATTAGTGATACAAAAAACCTGTTTTATCCTGTGAATAAAAGTATATGTTTTTGTCAGTGTACCATGGTAATAACAGAAGCGAAACACAATATTGTGTCAGGACAATTCACTATTTATGCACAATAAATAAAGGAGCATAGCGCGACCATTTCTGTTCAGCGCCAGACTTGCTTGTAACCTATATCACCAATTATGTTAAGAAAAATGACGTATTAACTACAACAGAAGACTGACCTTTGTGGAAATGCTTGGAGCAGACTAACCTGAGCTGGAGGGTTCTGGGACGTTATATTTGATCTTTGAATGGCTGAAATCCAGGCCATTCGTCGCCTCTTTGTTACTTCGGAAACATGGCTGAACAATTTCTCTTCAACGACGTAATCCGATAACAACCGATCTCTTTACCCGTCGGCTTCCTGTGGCTGTCATGCGACCGGCTATTGCAGTTAATAATACAACAGCTTCTTGACATTTTTGTGTTTCTTTTTATCGCTGTATAACTGATTTCAATTGAAAGCCTGCGTGCGCTAGTACCGCTTGCCACGAGTTCCCAGAATCCTTTGCGGTTCTACCCGTGAATGACGTCACATTTTCAATCTCTATATAATATGCATGTTAAATTTTATATTTGGGGTAAAATATCAAGTCTTTTCAAGTAAACCGGTTCAAGTCCAATTCAAGTCCCAGGTCATTGGTGTAAAAGTCCAAGTCAAGTCACAAGTCTTAGAACATTTTTTCCAAGTCAAGTCTAAAGTCATAAAATCGAGTCCAAGTCATGTGACTCGAGTCCACACCTCTGGAAAGTAATGCACACAAGACAAGACAATGACATAGAGGCTAAGCAGGGAAGATAAGGGTGAGGAGGAGAGGAGAAAAGTGTGACCACCTTCGCTGAGAGCTGAAGAAGAAGTGTCTAATATAGAGCACAAACTTGAGGGAGGAATGTATTTAAACAAAAAGGAATGTATTTAAACAAAAAGAGCACGAACTGGTGCAGCTGGACTGTAGTGGGCACTGTGCCAACGCTTTAGGCTCTATAGCTCACTCCAAATGTTTAGAGGGTCCTCAGTAATACTGGTATTTGGATGAAGCACAGCAAAACCTAACTGAACCTCACAGGCAGTCATGCTCTGGTATGATGAAAGGCAACCACACCTAAAAAGAGTGAGACATGCGGGCTCCTGTTTTAGTTCTTTGCAGCATCCAAACACCTGTGAAATAGCAAGTGCATGTTTCCCATAGAGATATGCGAAATTACAAGAAATTATTTGTGTCACTTTCAAAGAGGTGACTTCATCCCAGCTCAGTCTCAGGAGTTTGTGAAATAGTCACCCAAAAAAATGAAAGAACTACACTTTTGTCAGATGGCACAAATTTGTAAGTCATGCAATTCAGTGGGAAATATGTTTTGTCCCAAAAGCACGTATGTTCTGTAGAAAAAGCAAATGTCACCATGGCAACCAGAAAGAAGTGTTTTATAAGCCACGGCAACTGTTGCGTTTATTTTTTAAACCTAACCCAGCAGATTTTAATGCCTAAAGCTGCGTCCACAGTGGAATCAATTGGCTGCGACCTGGCAACCACACACCACAGAAAATCAACTTCAAGCGACTGCACTACTTGCAAATAACCCCTGACAATGTAAAATGTAAAATGGGCGGGACCTGAGATAACCATTTCTCAACTTTTAGGCGGGCAACTGTAGCGACTAAGTGAGCACAGGATACTACTGATTGGCATGTGGCCTGGTAGTAAATACATGCTTTTTTCAGACAACAGTGCATCCCTCACAAAGCCTTATTTTGGTTAGTACATTACTTGCCCACTAATCAGCCCATCGGCCCAACACTAACCCAAAAAGCTGAAAAATGATACCAACTGGTCAGGTTAGACAGGTTGTTATAGGATGACCCCAAATGGGTCACATTCCTATTTCCAGCCACCCTGGGAATAAGAATGTGCCATCCTGTCAGTTGAGTGGAAAATGAGAAAAGAAGTGTTTACGTATAATAAGTGAAAGCAAAACAAACAAAAAAAAACATTAAGGTCCAATTACTGCATTCAATATGATAAAAGACCAGTTGGGGAGGGTGTGGTTCAAGGTAAACTGGTAGGCATCTACTTTAGACTCAGCTCAGGGGTTTTTGAAGGTTCTCAGTCATCCAGGTCATCATCATCTTTAAGTTTCTTGAAGACGTTTCACCTCTCGCCCAAGAAGCTTCTTGAGTTCTAAGAGGTGGAGAGCCCTATTTAAGCCCTATTGGGAGTGTCCATAAGAGGGTTGCTGACCCTCTATTGATCATCTGCCTAATCACATGAGCCAAGGTGTGAAAACAGGTGCTGGTTACTATCAGCCTAATTGTCATTTAAGTACGAGGATGGGTTGTTTTTATAAACAACACAAGTTGGAACACACACACCCAGACACACACACAACAGTAATCTGAATGAATTATTGTGTTTGCACTCAATCGCACCTAGACAGTTCATTTGCATTCAGAGCAATTTACACAAATAAGTGCAAAGCAGAGACAAATGAATACACTTACACACATTAAACAATACAAATGTTAACAGACCCACACCCACAAAGAAGCACAGTTTTTATTATTGTGTATGTAGCATTCAGTAAAATATGGACAGACATACTCTATCCTTCCTGATATTATCATAGACTCGCCGCCCACTAAAATATCTCAGCTGGAGGCTTGGTTGCGTCTGGAGATGTGCTCGCTTATCATCTCAAAATACACACTCACAAGTGGACACATGGGAACGTAGAAAGAAAAAAGCACAAAAATAAACACACACACACTTATTCGCATTTCATTCTTAAACATCCCACGCAAACGGGAACACGTCTCAATGGTTTTTGGTCGTTTGTGCTCTTCACAGGCAAAGACTCACTGTATGCGCGTGCTGACTATCACACACACATAAACTTTGACTCCTCCACCTCTCCTTGAAGACATTTATGAGGTGCTAAATCACTAAGCTGCCTGACTGGTAAGGGTAAATAGAGAGGAGAGCCATACATACACACACACACACACATGCTGTGATGTGAAGGAGTAAACATCAAAGCATCTGTTGGATTTTTATCTTTAGTATATTTTTGAATGAGTACAATGTTTAACGTTCTTTTCAGACCTTTTTTTGAAGAGTGTGGACAAAGTCTAAATTAGTCTGGTGGAGAATCACTTGGAGGGCAAAGGAAGCGGAGAAAATGCAGGACAGAAGAAGATTTGAGTGGGCGCGCTGATGGATGGCTGAAGAGGGAAGAAGAAATGGATGAAAGCTCAAAAGATTTAGAGAAGGAAAGCATGGAAATTTATTGAGTAAGACTGAGGGAGAGGAGTGGGTGAATGGAGTAGATGGATGGAAGGAAAGTAATCGGAAAGGGGGGATATATCAAGAATATATCAAGACAGACCAGAAGGAATGTAAGAGAGAGAGGTTTGATTTATTCTCAAATCATGAATGACTGGGTGAAAACAACTTGTGCATGCAGGAAGTTCAAATTAGATGATCTGATTCTTTTTTTTTTCTTCCATTGCTTCTTTCCGCAGTTCGCCCTCACCATCATCTCGGATAAACACCTCAGATATGTCCGTTCACAACAGCAAGGTTCAAAGCTGAATGCAGATACTGAAACCGACTGACACCCTGTGGCAAACGGACTACAGCGATTGGGTGGACAGAGGACGATGGTGGCCCGGAGCCATGGATATGAGTCATCCAATTTCCAGCTCTAAATTAAAAACTCTTAAAGTCTCACTTCCACTTGGATGTAGATGTGGCTGAACACCAAAAAGCAACTCGGGACAGTTTTGCTCAGCATATACCTTGAGAACTCCCTGGCAATGATTTGTTGGCCAGTAATGGGAGATACAAGCCTAACAGAACAATTTGAGGCTGTTTGGAACTAGCAAGATTTATTAAAACACAATAATAAAACCAAGAGCCCTTGTAGCTGCTTCTTCCCTATCCCCCTGCCCCAGCTTCCCTGTCATTCACAATCCCCCAGATTTCTCCCTATCCTGCTTTCTTCCCATCCCATCTGATCAACTCTTAGGTGATATCCTTCAGAGAAGTGTCCCTTAATTTTGAGTGCAGCTTCTTCTTCTGTATGCTTCTGAAGCAGATTGTCCAATCTCCAGTAATCTCTCTTTGAAATGGGTGGCCCAGCAAGGGCTCTTCTTGGCGGGTTCGGGACAACCACATCCTCCTTGGAGGTCGGGAGTCGAATGGCTTGGCCGAGCAACAACCCCTTAGATCTCAATCAAACCCTCCCATGGGGGATAGGACTTGGAAGCAGCAGCGGAGGTGGTGGTGCTTCCGGCATGAGTTTAGGTCTGGATAATTTAACAACCCAGGAGTCTGTGAGCAGGGCGGTTATCAAAGAGAAGAACTGGCCAGCACTGCTCATACTCGTCATCATTGCGCTGACGATCGGCGGAAACATTCTGGTCATCCTCGCGGTGTCGCTGGAAAAGAAGCTCCAGAATGCCACCAACTTCTTTCTGAGGTCACTGGCTGTAGCGGACATGCTCGTAGGGATCCTGGTTATGCCAATCTCTCTTATCAACATCCTCTATGGTAAGTTTATGGTACCCATAAATGACATCAGCATGAAACACTTATATACAAATAAAATTCACAACTCATCTCTGCTGACAGTAGCATATTTATAGTCTTACGCAACTTTAAAACATCAGTGAACAATTGGATGAGTTGGTTTGGTTTATATGTAAGTATATATGTTATTGCTGTCAGCGTTAATCTCGTTAAAATGCCGTTAATGCAATAACCGCATTTAAGGCGTCAAATCTCCGTTAGCGAGTTAATGGAGATTTGCCACGTAAATGCGGTTATGGCGTTAACGTCATTTTAACGAGATTAATGCTGACAGCACCCAAAAAAAGTCGTTCATTTTACTTTCTGTATCTTTGATTTTTTTTTTTTTCCATTTTTCTTTTCTTTTTCTGTTTTAGCCATTTAAGAATGATTCAAGAGTCAATCATCATCTTTGTGTGCCGTGATCTCAGCACTTGATCGGATGTGTTCACGGACATAGTGCAACCTGTGATCAGACCAGCTGATATCATTTAGGATAACTTAGTAAATTAGTGTTTGCAGTGAAGATAAACTGACCACTTAAACATTTAAATGACGCTTTTCTAGTTTTGTAGCTTCAGGCTGAAAAATCAAAGAGAAGGTGGAAAAATTGCTGCAAACTGAGAAACTACATTACTCCTACATTCTCAGTAAGCTCAGTACAGTCAAAAGGAACTTGTAAATTACTCGTACCGACTTTGAAAGAATAGCAAAACAGATGATCCACTTTCCTTAAGTGTTTGTAATTATGTATTCACTTCTTTACAGCACCTCCTTTAATAATAAAAAGCCAGATTCAGAATCAGAATCAGAATAAGAATGGGTTTATTGCCAGATGTTGAGGTTTACAACATTAGGAAATTGCTGCGGTGCTTCAGTGCAGACAATAAGAATTAAAGTGCTATGTAGAAAGAAAGATATGTGCATGAGATATACATGAGATATATACATGAGAATTAGAATTATGAGTGCTACGTAGAAAGATATATACATGAGTGCAGGTGGTGATCAGTGCCAAACATGAAATGATGCAGTGACACAGCGTAGGGTCATGTGTTAGTGGCGGGGACAATCATGTGGTTATTGTTCATGTGTCCAACAGCAGAGGGGAAGAAACTGTTCTTATGGCGAGAGGTTCTGGTGCGAATGGACCGGAGCCTCCTGCCTGAGGGGAGCAGGTCAAACAGACTGTGTCCAGGGTGAGAAGGGTCAGCTGAGATCCGGGCTGCACGCCGCAGTGTCCTGGAGGTGTACAGGTCCTGCAGAGATGGGAGTCTGCAGCCAATCACCTTCTCAGCAGAGCGCACAACACGCTGCAGTCTCTGTTTGTCCCTGATAGTGGCTCCAGCGTACCACACGGTGATGGAGGAGGTGAGGATGGACTCGATGATTGCAGTGTAGAATTGCATCATCGTCCGTGTTGGCAGGTTGAATTTCTTCAGCTGCCTCAGGAAGTACATCCTCTGCTGGGCTTTCTTGATGACGGAGGTGATGGTGGGCTCCCACTTCAGGTCCTGGGTGATGGTGGTACCCAGGAAGCGGAATGAGTCCACAGAGGTGATGGGGGTGTCAGTCAGGATGATGGGGGGGAGTGGGGCTGTGTGCTTCCTGAAGTCCACAATAATCTCCACTGTCTTCTGGGCATTCAGCACCAGGTTGTTGTGGCTGCACCAGGACACCAGACGTTCAACCTCCCTCCTGTAGGCAGACTCATCCCCGTCCGAGATGAGCCCAATGACGGTGGTGTCGTCTGCGAACTTGATTAGCTTGACAGACTGGTGGGTGGAGGTGCAGCAGTTGGTGTACAGGGAGAAGAGCAGAGGAGAAAGAACACAGCCCTGAGGGGAGCCGGTGCTGATGGTCCGGGAGTCCGAGACATTCTTTCCCAGCCTCACGTGCTGCTTCCTGTCCGTCAGGAAGTCAGTGATCCACCGGCAGATGGGATCAGGCACATACATCTGGGAAAGCTTGCCTCGGAGATGGTCTGGAAGGATGGTGTTGAAGGCAGAGCTGAAGTCCACAAACAGGATCCTGGCGTAGGTTCCTGGGGAGTCCAGATGCTGCAGGATGAAGTGTAGGGCCATGTTGATGGCGTCGTCTACAGACCTGTTGGCTCTATATGCAAACTGCAGGGGGTCCAGGAGGGGGGCCGTGAGGGTCTTGAGATGGGAGAGAACTAGGCGCTCAAATGACTTCATGACCACAGATGTCAGAGCCACGGGTCTGTAGTCATTTAGTCCAGTGATCCTAGGTTTCTTGGGGACAGGGATTATGGTAGAGGACTTGAAGCAGGCAGGCACATGACATGCCTGCAGTGAGGAGTTGAAGATGCCAGAAAACACTGGGGCCAGCTCGTTTGCACAGTGTCTGAGGGTGGCAGGAGACACACCGTCTGGGCCGGGAGCTTTTCGAGCATTCAGACTCTTAAACTGCTTCCTCACATCTGCTTCATGAATATGAAGAGTTGTGGTCGGAGGAGGTGGTGTGAAATCCTCTTTTGTGTGGGGTGAGGGGGCGGGTGTTGCAGGTGAACAGTTTGAAGGTGGTGATGGCTCTATGGAGGGGGGAGAGGTGGGGGAATGAGTGTCCAAAGTGTCTCTATTGTTGGGGCCGTTGGAGGTGTGAAGGCTGCCTGATGGCTCGTCAAAACGGCAGTAGAAGTTGTTAAGGGTGTTGGCTAAGAGCAAGTCATCAGTGGAGTGGGGGGTTTTAGGCTTGTAGTTTGTTATATTCCTAAAACCTTTCCACACAGAGGCCGAGTCATTCTCTGAGATCTGCTGCTGCATCTTCTCAGAGTGCTGATGTTTGGCAATGTCCACTTCTTTAGTGAACCTGTACTTGGCCTCTCTGTAGCAGTCCCTGTCTCCGCTTCTGAACGCCTTACTCTTTTCCAGCCACAGCTTTTTGAGTTTAGGAGTAAACCAGGGTTTGTCATTGTTATAACTCACCCTGGTGCGTGATGGCACAATGCTGTCCTCACAGAAGTGGATATAGGAGGTGACAGTGTCCGTAAACTCGTCCAAGCTGTTAGAAGCAGCCTTCATTGTGTCCCAGTCTGTAGACTCCAAACACGTGCGAAGCTCCTCCACAGCCTCGTTGCTCCACAGTTTTTTAGTCCTCACGACAGGTTTGGAGAGCTTCAGCCTCTGTCTGTACGCGGGGATTAGGTGGATCATGACGTGGTCAGAAAGTCCGAGTGAAGCGCGGGGCACCGCGCGATAGGCCCCGCTGATCGTACTGTAACAGTGGTCTAATGTTCTCTCCTCTCTGGTCGGGCATTTAATATGCTGCTTATATTTTGGAAGCTCATGGCTCAGATTGGCTTTGTTAAAGTCCCCAAGAGCAATGATGAGAGAGTCCGGGAATGTCCGCTCCGTGTGGAGAATCTGCTCCGCGAGTGCGCACTGAGCTGCCTGCGCATTCATCCCTATAAATCTCAATCTTTAGACAATCTGCACCTGATCTCAAATATCCACCCACTTGCCAGCTGTTGTCAGCACACTGACATGCGCCTGCCATCATTAAAAAACATTTTTCCGTGCAGTTATTGAAATGATTATTACTTCTCTGAGACGGCGCACACTGTTATTTTGCAAGTGAATCAAAAGCCGGAGGATGCCAGCTTAATAATTGCAATTTCATACCAGCTTTTTACTGCTGTTCTTGCTTCCAGTGTCCATGCCAGGATTCTGCATGAACGCCCACATTAGCATAATAGGATATGTGCATTCCCCAAGCACGTGTGAAAACATTCGATTAAAGATAGACTGTCTTCTTCTAATGTTTCAGCTAGCTCTCGACGTGAACGCCTCAGGAGGGAGGTACATTTCCTACTTCATACCTGTAAATGTCACCATCACAGAGACGATCACAGAGCTGATAGTCAGTGAGAAAATCTGTTTCAGAGATGTAGATAAACAGATGGTGACCTTTACAGGTTTCAGTGACAGCATTCTTTCTCAGTGCTCACATCACCGGCTTCCAAGAACTCTTAGCACCTTATAATAAATGTGTCTATGTTTTTTGGCTAATATCATACTTCCAATCGTATGAAGCCATATTTTAAAGATTTTTGATTAATCTGTTCAGTAATCTGAGAAACGTGAGGACATTTATGAAGGTATATTTTCAGGGATGCTGTGCACGATATACCTTTTTAAAGGGTAGCTATAATGCTCATTGTTTCTAGACCCATGTTTTTATTATTCGACTGCACTGGAGTGTCTTTGCGTGATTTACGTTTTAAAATAATCTTTTTTTATCATTTAGCTTTTCTGCAGTTCATTCACTCTAAAGCAGTGTGTTTGAGCTCCCTTCCATCTCCTTTTAAGACAACTTTGTTCTGATTGGCTGCCCCTCACAATTTGAATAGCATGTGGGTGGGGCTTCTGTGCTACATGCCCACAGTTAAGTAGAGACAATAGTTGTAGTGAAACCAAGTGCATAGAGGACTTGAGCTTTTGGTTCACGGAGATTGCTTGAATATATACTCTGACCTCATTATTTGAAACTGTGGCCATGTTTTGAAAATGCCACTGTGACAAAATATATGACAGAAATTAATGAAACCCATAGTGTGGCTACTTTGACCTCTTTACAGCTACCATGTTGCTGGCAACGATTAAGGCAGGATTTGCCCTTTGTGTGGAATTATAGAAATTTGATCAGATCTTCTAGTTTCCAAAACTAGGCTTCCTTAGCAAAACGCAAACTAATCCTAACCCTCATTCAGTGGGGATTCTGGTGGATGTTAGTCCTCAGTCACAGAAGCCTAGAGACTGGTCTGCAAACTCATGGAAAAATTAATATTCCCAGACTGGTTGCAAGGGGTTGCAGCCATCCAGTCGCTATGGAAAGATTTGTATTCCACAACAAATTGGCAAGTGGTTGCTGGAGTTTGCTGGCTAATACTAAATTGGTGTCAAAGAGGTATGCAGTGCTGCATTGGAAACTGCGTCGGTCAATAGCAGAATGCTCTGGTC